AACACTGAGCCTGATCACTCACAACCGGTTAAGGAGGCAGGTGTGCCACAGCAGATGAAAGGAGAAGGTGTAATCGCATAGTCAAACCAACCATCCACTCCATACTAACTCGACATAGTATAAGCCTGCGAGGAGGAGTGAAAGCTCTGAGGATAATGTTTTGTAAAGAGATAGGTTAGTGTTGATTTGAAAATCCACATCATTTCAAGTCTTTTCAGGTCTCAGCAGCATTCAACATTCTGCCCTTCTTCTTGACGTCACTTACTTACTCCATTTATACCCTCCTTTCCAATGTAATCATACAGGTACGTCAAACTGGCCCCACTTCTACAACATAATATTTTTACAAAAAAAAACTCCACTCCTTTTAAGGCAATATTCCTTCAAGAGATGGTGAATAGCATCCCATTGGCGGCCAGTCGAGTTCCTAAATCAGGTATGTACTTTTGCAATATCCGAACTCAGTGAAGGTAACTGAGTAGTCTTACTCTTGATGCATTCAGATGCACAAAGTAAAATATACTCATGGATGAGAAGCTCTTGATTACAGGAAAACTGGCGCCCACACAGAGTACTGGAGTCAAAACTATAAAACTGTAATACCGAACAAGACCAGTGCCAATCAACCGACCACGGAAGGCTTGGTTGGCTTTTGAGGATACCAATCCAAATTCGATTCCTAGACCATGTATCTGCCTGTGAAAGACTTTCGAACCTCGAATCACTACTTTTATTATAGGGGTAATATAGAGCATTAGCTGCGCGAACAATCAAAAAAAGAGTCGGGAAAGACTGGCTCTATAGATTTCCCCTTCTTCTTTTTCAGGGCCTATCCCAATCGGAAGCTGGGTACACTTTTCTGTCTTGTTGACGCCACCTTTTCCAGTCGCACAAAGTGTCAAGAAAGTACCGCTTCGGTTGTAACTGAGGTTGCTTTCGGGCACGTTGAGGCCGAATCTGATCTTACGACCATTGTTTCCGTATCAGAGCGAAAAACGTCTACCAATGAGAACCACTCCGAAACGCTTTCTTACTACGGATATGCACATTAAGTCCACGAATCCCAAGAGGAATAGGTCAAATCGCCGTCGGAGTCGAATGCTGGTCCCAAAAACATGGGGACGGATGTTGTTGTAGTTCCAATGTCATCATTTTCTGTAGGCCGTTGTTCATTTGGGTCAGGGTTCATGTAACCAGTCTTTACTTTCGAACACTGCCAGACCATCGGACCAAGTTCGCACCAGTTGCTCGGGCACATTCTTGCCTTCACACACACCAGCACACGCCTTCACATGCATTACCTAGATTGAGGCAACTTGCATGTTGTCGAGAAGCGTCTTATCCCCTCCAGCCAAGCGACGACTACTCTAAAACCCACAGTGTGAACTACGCAATGTAAACTGTTAGAGGACACACCAAGGGTAGATATGTACGGCAATACTGTAGATAAATGGAATTCGTAACTACAACACAGCTGAAAGCAACAAAACAGCAAGCATTTTCATACTACAAAATGAATAAGGTTTTGTTTTCGATCGGGGGATGGCTGCACATTCCATCAATCTACAGTACCTAAGGGGATTCGTAGTTCGTAATCAAAATCGCGTTACGAAACGTACATCGATGTAGCAGCAATCCTTCTGGTGCTGAATGGTTCCTTTTGCTATGCGCAGCTTCTACAAAAAATGACACTCTATATGCGTATTGGTGAAACGGTATTGGTGAAACACCGCGATTTGGTGAAACCACCCGACATTTTTGTCCTAATGTCAAGGAGACTCCTTTAATTATTTGAATTGGGTGGCCGCTCCCTTCAATTCCAATGCGGTCATGATCGTCGCTTATAGGAGGAGTCATTCTAAATAATCAAGTCTAATAAACATAAAAACGAGAAAAAACAGAAAAAAGGAGCAAATCTAATTAAAAAGAAAAGCAATCAACTAAAAATATTGCGTCATATCGATTGGCGTGGAGGCGGGATGAGTACGGTATTGGCAGTAAGATTTGCCGCATGCCGCTGACGCACGTCCGCAACCGGGGAGTTCTATTACCCGTCAGGAGTGGTCAATTAATCATCAGCTATACAGCTTACATTGACGAAAGAATAAGCCAGTTCATATGACATGATGAGTAGACCGGACACAACAGCAGCAAAGATTGACTGTAGTCTGCATTTATACTTGGAGAAGTGGATCAGGTATTCCTGTGCACTTTCGTGCGGGCTTTGAGTAGCGGAAAGACGTAAGGTTCGCTACTGACAGGAGGCAGCGAATTTTCTCTTCGTTTGAACGGTGGAACCTTAGCCTCTGAGGAAAACGATAAGGGCTAAACGTTAGGCCTTTGACTTAATAAATTGTGTCAAATATCAACTTCGCACGGCATAAGAATATTTCAATCATAAGCAACTATGCCGAGGTTGAAGCAAGAGAAAAGTTGAAGACTAAACGATTTAGGCCTGTGTCTACTAATTCTATGCACTTTTACAGTAACGGTACTGTACCTCCAGTGAGGGGCAGATGTTGTTACTGATCAGGAACAGTTATAAGCAGTACTAATTTAATCGATCTTGGATTTCAGATAGCCAAAATCTCTTTCTTTCCCTTCTCTCTTTATGAGTGGTTTGAGAAGAGTGTTCTATTCAGTCGTACCACAAATCAATTGAGAAGAAAAGCTATTCTCAATGATAAAGATGAGAGGAAGAACGTTGAAAGTCTAACTTTGCAGTGCTTTTCTACAGTATGACAATGCTGTGCAATATGTTTTCGTTGATCTTGCATATCTTGTTGGTTGCCGTGGAACAGCAGTCGCCTGATTTCGTTCTCCGTCCTGTGGTGTACGGACTCGGCAATGCCATTGCAGGTTTGACCGATTTTTACGAAGTCGTATGATTCCATCGAGCTCATATTAATGACAAATTTCAGTAAGACTGCCATTTCCGCCCAAATCGCCCATCGTCACTCTTCGCACTACTCTAGGATTATTTGTTTCATTGTTGTACATTATATTTATTTTTGCATTTCTGATATTTTGAATCGATACGGTGTAACCAAATGCATATGAACAAGCTATTTCCACCATATATTGTTAGAAAATAAAAATCGAATGTCTGTCCAGCCAACAAACTGATAATTCAATCATTCCATGATTAATTTCAAATTTTGAGGCACGTTCCTCGCTCGGAGCTCTTTGCCCATATACCGATAGCTACATAGGTATGGCTGGGTCAAGGTAGCAGTTTTTGTTTTGCGTCTTGCCACGCACTTGTTCAGGAGCTATTGCCGAATCTACCGCCGAATTCATTGGTTCCCCGAACTTTTCATACCTCTAGCACAGAAGCGAGTACTCGTAGGTATACCTCTGTGGCACGCAAAACAACAACAACGAGGTAGGGCATCTTGAGGTCTCCCCATTGAAGGGTTCTAACTTAACAGAGTGGTTCAGTCTTTAGAAACCATCCTACACGATAACATAATTGCATTCTTTTTCTTGGCGATTTTGTGACTTTTTTTTCTCTTTTTTCAATTTTGCTTTGCAAGGGTACGTTTGCTATTCGGAGTTTCTATCCGAGTTCTCTACCCATGCATCTGTGTATGGTTATTAGTATGATATTTCGCAACTACCCACATCATATCCTCTTCTGTATGAAATTCATATTTAACTCCTCGGAGTGCTATAAGGGTCACTGACATTCTATGATGACAGAAAATGAATAAAAAACGTGTAGAGGTTGTGAAAGACCTCTCAAGTTAAAAGCTTGAGGGAAGAAACAAAAAAAATCTTTCGCGCTTGATTTCCGACATGTTATGAAGACTAGATGAAAGGACTCACTCCAGGTGAGGGAAGTGATGATGGGCATTTTGATGACTCATTTCTATTTTTGAAAGATCCAGCGACGATTTTCGCTTCGAATGATAAATTCAATCTTCACTGCTGCACTTTTTGCCTCATCTTGTCTCTCAACTGTTTATTACTACATGATAGTCACGAGTAAAGTTCATATATTGTGAAATAGACCGAAACATCTCCTCTTCAGTTCGAATTCGAGCTATTTTTCTGTTCAAGAGCAGGGGCAAGGCGAATTTTGCCCTATACTCTCAACCTAAAGGGGAGTTGTATTCAGATGGTTGAGAATTCTTCCTTCTTATACAGCAGCTGATGGTCGTTGCAATCTAACAATTTCCGTGAATTCCCTCGAGATTAACCTTATCATGGACTTCAAATAGCGGATGAGAACTATGCGATTTCCCGTTGATTGCGTTGCAGCCCATGCGTCACCATAAGAAACTTTGTCGGCCATAATGACAAAAAGCACAAAGCATTTGTGAATCAGCCTATAACCGGCCCCTTCTCCCAAGAGAAATTCCAAGCGGAAACGCCTTCTTTTCACATCGGACTTGACAACATTAAATGTCAATCGAGTCAAGCACATTAAAGGATTAAGGATAAAGTCTCCAGGCGTTCATCAATCCCGTCTGAGGGATGCGTTCCCCCATTCGAGTTCCATTCCGAATCGTATTAGCGACTGGAACGCGTATGTGATCTATACAATGACGAAGCCAGCCGATGTATGAGGCAGTGCTTTTACCCTCTCAAACTAGTCTGACACTGATTAACTGGCCCCAGAAAGATGGAAAGCTGGTTGGTCAGTAAATGACTTCTCTGCTCCCTGGGAGGTCTAGCGAATCGCCCCTACTTTACAAGCACTCTTTCAGTCTTAATGCCATGGATCTTATCCGAATCCCCTACTCCCAAGTGAATTACTACCCAGTGTGGATTCCAACTGGTACCAGAAACTGCGGATTGACTCAACCACTTGATAAAAGTAGAATAAAGTTCCAATGTCTTTCTAAATGAAGTAGATGTTGACAGAATTGCGCTGATTTTCTAAAAACATCGCTTTGAAAAGGGAAAGACCCACCTCGATGGAAGAATGATGCGATACGAAATTGAAGGGAAGGGTGATAAGCAGATGAAATATTGCAACATGCTCATGGAATCCCGATGTGAAACTCGCGATCCGGAATGTGCCCCTTCCAAGTTTCGGTTTTTCGCGTGCGCCGCGACCCGTCCCGGCGCATTGTCCGTCGGCCTATGAAAAAAACTCCCCGATTCGATTCATCGGCGGTTCCGATATAAAAGAATCGCCTTCGTCACCCAAAAAGGCATTCATTATCCCCTCCTAAAATGTCCACATCATTGACCTTCCTCTGGCTCTCTTGGATCGGAAAAATCAATCTTCTGCTAGCGATCATTGCGATCTTTTCTATGACTTTTACTAAACGTCCATTCATTCATATGGCAAGTCATTTTCAGATGTCGGTAATTGGGGCCACTTCGAGCGCTTTGCTCTTTTCCGGCGTCACTTTGGTTGTTTCACTATTCGCTGCCGCTGCAATATATAGTCAAGTCAATTCTATTTGGAATGAACTAGATGCTGAGATGAGCAATTTCAAGGTGAATGCCCTATCAGGCCACTAGATCTTTCACGTTTTAATCGATTCCTGTCAATTTATTTTTCTTGTTACCTGAAAAAAGAAACACAATGAGATCTAGAAACCCAAATCGAGCATAAATATGTGGGAAGATTTCGATTCAACCACCATCTTCAATGTTCATATTCAGATACTGACCGACGATCTCTGGAAAGACATGGTTGGGCTCGGAGCAGGTACTCCATCGAACCGAATTAGACGTGAATCTTACGGTGGCTACGGAGCCAGCGGACAGGCAGCACCTGCTCCCTCCTATGGAGCGGTCAGAAACCCTTCACCAAGCTATGGAAGCCCACCAGCAATTTCAACATGCATGTGCGCCATTAAGAGTAATTGCCCCCCTGGTCCTACTGGACCTGTTGGACTTCCTGGACCAGACGGTTACGATGGTCTCGACGGAATTCCTGGACAAGATGGTCTTAATGCCGAAGATGTTATGAATGAAGGCTCGCAAGGTTGCTTCACGTGTCCTCAAGGACTTCCTGGTCCACAAGGACCATCTGGACCTCCAGGAGTTCGTGGAATGCGTGGAGCCAGAGGGCAGCCGGGAGCACCTGGAAAGGATGGTAACCCAGGAATGCCTGGTTTGTACTGATTGCTTGATTGGTCTTTAATTTGCGTAGTGCTTATGCATTATTTACCAAGTTTCATATGAATAGTGAATGTTCTTGCAGGCGAAATGGGGCCTCCAGGACCACCGGGACCTGACGGGACTCCAGGAAAACCAGGAGAAAAGGGAGATGATGCAGAGAAACCACTTGGACGTGCTGGGCCACGGGGACCTCCTGGAGAGCAAGGACCTGAGGGCCCTGAGGGGTCCCCGGGAAGAGATGCTTACACAGGTCCACAAGGTCCACCAGGAGATCAGGGAGTCCCAGGATATCAGGTAATCTCTAACTATGGAAACATCTAATGAAAACGTGCTGGTGGTAAATAAAAAGCTAATGTCAGAGAATTTAGGGTGCTGCAGGTGCAGATGGAGAAGAAGGACCTCAAGGACCTCCAGGCAATCCTGGAAAGGACGCCGAGTACTGTAAGTGTCCAGATCGAGATTCCGACCATGGCTCTGCACACAGTCCTCGTGGCAATGGGTACAGAAGAAGAAAACATCGCAAACATTAAACTCATGAATAAACTACTTCAAGACGAGACCAGTTTTCTCTGAGACAATCACTCGAAGGAAAACGCGCTGTAGCATATTAATCTCGTACTAGAGGTCAATTACGACTGACCATAAATGCTTATTATGCATCACAGTTCCTTTCGAGCTCGACCGCGGAGTGAACTCGACTCGCCTTCACCAAGATAAAGACATTTGTCATCCATTATACCAGAGATCGGCTACACGTCGACAGAAATCCAAGCCATTCTGTCGCTTTCTAGCCAGGAAGCTCCTAGCTTCCATTGGCTCCCAATACTGCTCGTGCTTTCTGAGCTGATGCCATCGTACGGTCTCGCACGGGAAACAGTCAAGTTTCGTACAGCCGTTCACTTTGAATTTCATTCACGTTGTGGTCCAAAATTAGTTCACATCCATTTCAGCTGATCTTTCCAGTTTGCACTTATTCTAAAATGATTCTGATTTTTCGAGAACAGAGCGATGGCTCAACTTGGTTTACCTACGTAAACCAAAACGGAAAGGGTGTAGTTTCTCGCGTGAGATTTTAGACATCGAAAACGGTGCCGTGTAAATCAAAAAACAGAGAGAACTTTCTCCTGATTGCCTAGTTTTCATTGGGGCTCACCTCATCAAGACTTGATTGATTAGCCAATAAAAAGCATCGAGAAACAGTTCCTTGCCCAATGATCTATCTTTCGGGAAGAAGGCAATAAAACTTATCGGATACCTTATGAAGCGACGTTCATATAGAGTGCAGTATTCGTACTGTGGGAAATGTGCCAGAATGATAAATCTACATTAATGTGAGAAAACGATGCCTAACACACAAATTGTTCAAAAACAGACATGAAATGAGGACATTCGTGGGCTGTCATTCAACGCGCTTTAGAAAGGACGATGCTCGAAACTTTCCTATACACGCAAGTGCAGAAGGGAATCCTGAGCTCTGAGTTCCATCAACGAGTAAAGTCCAGGTACGGCGTTGCTTGCGTGGAGAACAGTTGGGCCGGTCACGTCACGTGGTACAGTGATGACTGTTGGACCAGGGCGGTTACGGACTGGATCCTTCGGGACCTTAAAGGCACTGTTAACAAAAAAGTAAGGGTACCCTCTTTTTGACGGGAATAGATAGAACTACTCTAGAATGAAGCGATAACAACGAAAAAGCGCAAAAAAACGAGGAACAAAAAGAATTACAAAGGGACAAAAAAAGAGCTGGAAAGAGGGGTGGACGAATTTCACATTGAAAAAACTGCGGTTAGGGAGTGTTCGAGCGAGAATGCACGAAGGCGGCGCAATGTCTGCAATCCAGACAACACATTGAAATTAACGGAGTTTCTAAAATAAAAAAAAAACACTTGCATGCAAAAATCTACCCAAAATATTTAAAATCTTCAATAAACACGAGAATAGTTGAAGAAAGCTACAGTAAGAAATTCATAACAAAAAACAATAGAAATAACAAACATAAAACAGAAATAACAGCCGAATACTAGCTCTTGTACGAGGCGGTCGACCAGCTGATGATTCCTGGCAATTTGCCAATCAGCGTAACGATTTTTCACCAACTTCGCTCCAGTGCGAATGTGGTGAAGGACAACTTGAACACGTAGTCAGCCTAACGAGGGGCGGAGGCCTCCCGTCCCCCACTGTTCCTGGCCTTATTGTGCCCTATCCAGCCGTTTTCCGACCTAATTCCTGCACAAATGNCAACGAGTAAAGTCCAGGTACGGCGTTGCTTGCGTGGAGAACAGTTGGACGGTCACGTCACGTGGTACAGTGATGATTGTTGGACCAGGGCGGTTACGGACTGGATCCTTCGGGACCTTAAACGTACGCCAGGACAGCCACCTGTCNCACAAATGCTATCAGAGGGGGCTTAGAATTCTAACCATGTGCATATCTTCGAAACCATTTATTCGTTAACAGTGCCTTTAAACGTACGCCAGGACGGCCACCTGTCCGATGGTCACGCTTCTTCACGAAAGCTCTTGACGAAAATAGCTTTTGCTCCGTGTCCCTCGAGCGAGTACGATTCACTGGACAACACTGATTCGTGAATGGAAGAATGGAGACGTTACTGACGCCCGTTCAAGGAAATCGGTCATCAACGGAACGACAGATGACAGGTGAAGTGATATCAGTTCTGAAGAACCCTTTGAGGAAAGTATCCCAACACGTTTCACAGGGTTTCGATGTAAATAGGGCTACCACAAGAGGAACGTGCTGTTGAACTTTGCAGTACCCGCTTACTGGAAACCATCTGGAGCAGAGACGTATTCACTAGGTTTTTGTAAAATTCTAGGAGCCTCCATCGTTGAGCTGACCATGGTGATCTTGGCTCCATTCCTATTTCGAGAAAAGTGCCAAATCTCTGTGACGTCTTATGTACTTCCAATCACGAGACTTCCTTTTTAACTACTTTTCTTTCTTTTCTTCCGACTTCTCGATAGCAAATGTCTTTATACAGTCTGAGAACAAAAGAAAATGGTGATCTCCCAGTGTGATCTATAGGTTAGCCAGAGATGTGCCCGTGTCTGCATTCTATGTACAATACAGAAGGAATAACATAAATGATTTATTTAATCAGCACTAAGATAACTGACGTAGTGGATTCGAACTGATTGCAGTCTGGTAGTCGACTAGCGATTCCGCACCTCTCGTAGATTCAGAGCACCGGAAACGATAGGTCGACATGATTCTGAAACGTCGACAGCCGGAGCTACGACGAAAAATCCTGGATGACTCGTATCGAATGTTGAATTCCAAGCTCGCGTAATACCTAGATTCAGTGTGTCTCATCTCCATACAATACCCGAATACTCTCGAAGCTTTTCTCTGACATCGGAAATCTTACTCGAGAAAGCAAGAGAACCTAGGCTCTTTGTGAAATCATGTCATGCCAATAGACCGGACTTCAAGCGATTATATAACCTTTTCTCTTAAACTCGAGCCAACGATTTTCAAGCTATGAAGCAGCGATTTTTCTAGAGATTAGGCATACCATTTACCGGAAATAGGATTCATATTTGCTATTCTTCATTTCAAAAAGCTTCAGTCGTTTGAATTTGGCGCATGCCCGAATTCATCCATTTCGAAGAAAACTGGAATCAAAATGATCAGAACAATCTGAAAAATGCCATGGTACAATTTTCATCTAATATCTGAAAAAATTGTTACTTCACACTCCACTTACTTCTTTCAACAGGAAGGAATGCCTTCTGGCTCTAAATATAGCAAGCGTCATTGCTACTGACGTATGCTCAGGAACTTTCATGGATGAAAGACTCCAGAATTAAGCTTTCCAAAATTTTTGGGCCACCTCTTTATAAAGCTCGACGATCTGAGTTAAACCATATAGTATGCGGATTAATTTTATGTTTGTCTGTTTGTTCAGCTATATTCTATCAGGTTTTTCCTACCTTTTCTGTGTAGATGTCCCAAAAGGAGGATGACATATCTGCTTTAAATGATTATTCAGGTAATAAGTACTCGTAACCTTAAATTTAACATTTTACTCTGAACGAAGAAGTATTGTTGTTATTCCCTGCGGAGCGTACCCATCCTAACAGCCCTGGATCGGAAGTGTTCTCATACCTCCGTGGCAATGGTATAACCACTATTATAAATTAATATATAGTTACTCTCAGTGTAACTCCCTTCAAAACTTCTTAACTACGTCGCGCAATCCTGCCCCTTCAGGGTTGGGTACTGATACAACTCTTACGATCTTTGACACTACTGTGCGATTCACAGTTTCTTGCAATTTCTCCGTTCGTCCGCATTGTTCTTTGTTAGCGAAGTCAAAGCCTGGCTTCTGAAACACCGTTTACATCACGTACATATAAATTTAATATCATATTAACTTACCATTGACACAGTACAGAATAACAAGAAAGGTAGGACTTGTGATGTTACTCTGTCAACTCCTTTTGTACTCGATTTTTGCGCCAACTCTCTCCGATGTAATCCATATGATCTCCAATAAGATGTCACAAGAATAACACCAATCTTAATTGGTGCCACTGGTTTTTTATTTATATTTTCAGTTTTTTTATTTTTTATATTATTTATACTATATTTTTTTACAGCGGGTCATACCTCTATAAAAATAAGGACTCACACTGATGGGGTTTATAAAAGTCAAAATCGGCAAGAGGGGGCAAGCATCTCTGCCAAAAGTCCGGTAAGACCCCTCTCTGCGTAAGAGTTTGGCCGCTCTTACACCTAGATTTCAGGTCAAAATATTACAATATGTTTAATGTTAATAATTACTACCAGTGCAATATATTTGAAAAGGTGAGGAATGGGACTAACATACCTTAAGAAAATTTGGTAATAATGAAGAGGTATCGGGTGTAACAGAGGTTGTAAAATTATTGCTGATGCAAGTAATATTATAGGTTCAAGTGTTACAGGGTCAAAAATTCATACATATGTACAAGCAACCACGAACATATTGTAAAACGAGAAATATAGTATATTATCTAACTTGTAAGAAGTGTGCAATGCAGTATGTTGGGATGACCAAAAGAACAGTCAAAGAAAGGAATAGTGGACGCCTTGATAATATAAAATCCAAATAAGCTAACACAATTCTTTGCAACCATATGATAAACTGTGTACGAAGTTTCTCTGTCATGGTATAGATTCTGTAACGTACAATAATAAATACATACTTCTAGAAAGAGAGTTATTCTAGACTAAATTACTTAATACTGCATATCCATTCGGTCTCAAAGACAATACCGAAGGATACGGCAAATTTTCTAACATAAGCAATCCTCTTAACTATAAGAGTACTGCACCATATTTTGCACTCAAAATAACGAAACGGAGGATAAACAGAGGTAGCAAAATAAAAAGAAGTAAAAATATTTTTTTTGTATTATATTATTATGTATATTAGCACACACTTACTATGACAAAGAAAGTAATGTTAGATGGTCTTCTTGTGACATCTGAGGCTCTGACGAAGGCGACTGGCCGAAACGTTAGCCGAAGAAAAATATT